CCTAGAGGTTACTAACCGGGTGGCAGATCACACTGGTACCCTTCGTCAAGCTTCACTCACTTGACTTAGGCTTAACCCGTGTGAACCCTGCTACAGGGGCTGCAGCCGCCCCTGTTGCCCTCACGGGAGGCTCCCCCGTCGGCTGCCTGGCTGGTGGATGTGCCTGGAGGTTGGCCGGCGTTCGCGCTGGTGGCCTGCCTGCCTGGCCGGCCTCCCGCCCCGGACCCCGAGGGGGGGGGGGGCGGGGCCTCCAGCCGGATGTCCCGCTGGCCGCCTGCCCGGGACCCCTGCGCCGCCTGCGGCCCGGGGTGCTTCTGCTGATCCAAAAGGCCCCGGGGGTCGGGGCGCGCGTGCCTGCGCTGCCCGACCGGGGGTGCCTTGCCGGTCGGGCCGCTGGGCCGGAGGCCGATCGCACCGCCGGGCCGGGACCGGCACCGGGTGCCCGTCCGGGCCGATGCTCCTGCCCGGGCATCGAGCACTGCGGCCGCTGTGCCGGAGGGCTTCGCCGGCTGGGGGGAGGGGGGGGGGGGCGGGCCCTGCGCGGCCTCCTGCCCGGGTGGCTGCCTCGCCGACCGCGGCGGCCCAACACCAGGCCCACGCCTCGTGTCTTGCCTGCCATCCGGAGTGTGCCGTCTGCTCGGGCCCCGGCTCGGGCGGGTGCGCGGCCGGCGATCCGTCCGCCGCGCTCGGCGCGAACGGCCTCCCCTTGGCGTCCGGACCCCCGCATGCGCGCTGCCCCGCCACCCGGCCATCGGCCTCGGCCTGGGTCTGGGCATGGCGGTCCTGCTGCTCGTTGCGCCGGCTGGCCTGGCATTCGAGACTCGCCGCGCGGCCCGCGCGCGCCGCACCAGCAGGGTGCTTTGCCGCAGCAGCCGCAGCCGTTCCTGCCGTTCCTGCCGCCCTCCCTCGGGCCCTCGCTCGGGCTCACACACAGAGGGGTACACCACATTGTCGTGGGGCGTGCGGCCCCAGCCAAAGCACTCGGACGTGGCCCTGCCTGGCTCGAGCCCGGGTGGCCAGCCCTCCGCCCCGCGGCGATGGGGGGAGGAAAGCGCCCCGATCGCCCACGGCCGGGAAGCGCATCAGCCCGCCCGGCTCCCCGGCAGGCCAAGTCCCCCGGCCTGCCGGGGCTGACACCGAGGCACGCTGCCAGAGGCGAAAGCAGGGCGGGTCGCGCGTTCCGGGCCCACGCACGGGGGCCCTTGCCCGGAGCAAGAGGACGTGGCCCGGACCGGAGGGCCGGATCGGCGCTTGGGGCCTCGGTCCTGGCGGGCCGTGATCCCCGGCCGGCGGCCATGCGGGCGCTCCCCCGGACAAAAGGCCGCCAGCCTGATCCGCCTCGCCCGAGAGCCCGATTGGCCGCCGGCGGGGGGGGGGGGGGGGGGGGGGGGCGAGGGGGGGACGAGCGCCCATGGCGCGCATGCAGACAGGGAACCCCCGGCCACAAGAGGACAGCTTGTGGTGAGGGAGGGCATTCACAAAGCGCAACAGGGGGAGATACCCGGCGGCCCCGGGCAGTGGGGGGGGGGCGGATATTACACGTTTCAGCCTGGGGGGGGGGGCCCGCACGCCGAGCCCCCCGGGCCGTCGGGCGGAAACGCGGCAAAAAATAAAAACACCCCCTGGATCCCGGGCACGGGTGTTCAGCTGAGCACGGGCCGGCCGCGCGCGCACACCCTGTTGTGGGGAATGTGTTGTTGTGAATATGCGCGGAAATGTGTTCACCTTTGGCCGGGGGCTGTAAAACCGATGCTCCCTTGTCGGCCTGTGCCCGGCTGGCGGCGCCGGTCATCCGGCACAGCTACCCTCCGCGAAACCAACAACAACAACAAGCCATGTGAAACGCCGTCCAGGCCCGGCGGCCCCTCTCGGGCCCCCCAAAAAGGCAGGCCCGGAGATGGGCCACCCGCGGGGGCTCCAGTGATCGGCGTCGGGCCCCGGGCCCGGGGGTCGGCGAGATGCCCCCCCC